GCGGGGTGATGGAAAGCGGGAGAATGGGGCGGGGTGATGGAAAGCGGGAGAATGGGGCGGGGTGATGGAAGGTGGGAGAATGGGGTGGGGTGATGGAAGGAGGGAGAATGGGGCGGGGTGATGGAAGGAGGGAGAATGGGGCGGGGTGATGGAAAGCGGGAGAATGGGGCGGGGTGATGGAAAGCGGGAGAATGGGGCGGGGTGATGGAATGCGGGAGAATGGGGCGGGGTGATGGAATGCGGGAGAATGGGGCGGGGTGATGGAGAGCGGGAGAACGCGGCGGGGTGATGGAAAGCGGGAGAATGGGGCGGGGTGATGGAAAGCGGGAGAATGGGGCGGGGTGATGGAAGGAGGGAGAATGGGGCAAGGTGATGGAAAGCTGGAGAATGGGGCGGGGTGATGGAAAGTGGGAGAATGGGGTGGGTTGATAGAAAGCGGGAGAATGGGGCGGGGTGATGGAAAGCGGGAGAATGGGGCAGGGTGATGGAAAGCGGGAGAATGGGGCATGGTGATGGAAAGCAGGAGAATGGGGCGGGGTGATGGAAAGCGGGAGAATGGGGCGGGGTGATGGAAAGCGGGAGAATGGAGCGGGGTGATGGAAAGCGGGAGAATGGGGCGGGGTGATGGAAAGCGGGAGAACGGGGCGGGGTGATGGAAAGCGGGAGAATGGGGCGGGGTGATGGAAAGCGGGAGAATGGGGCGGGGTGATGGAAGGAGGGAGAATGGGGCGGGGTGATGGAAGGAGGGAGAATGGGGCGGGGTGATGGAGAGCGGGAGAATGGGGCGGTGTGATGGAAAGCGGGAGAATGGGGCGGGGTGATGGAAGGCGGGAGAATGGGGCGGGGTGCTGGAAAGCGGGAGAATGGGGCGGGGTGATGGAAAGCAGGAGAATGGGGCGGGGTGATGGAAGGCGGGAGAATGGGGCGGGGTGATGGAAGGAGGGAGAATGGGGGGGTTTGATGGAAAGCGGGATAATGGGGCGGGGTGATGGAAAGCAGGAGAATGGGGCGGGGTGATGGAAAGCGGGAGAATGGGGCGAGGTGATGGAAACTGGGAGAATGGGGCGGGGTGATGGAAAGCGGGAGAATGGGGCGGGGTGATGGAAATCAGGAGAATGGGGCGGGGTGATGGAAGGCGGGAGAATGGGGCGGGGTGATGGAAAGCGGGAGAATGGGGCGGGGTGATGGAAAGCGGGAGAATGGGGCGGGGTGATGGAAGGAGGGAGAATGGGGTGGGGTGATGGAAGGAGGGAGAATGGGGCGGGGTGATGGAAGGAGGGAGAATGGGGCGGGGTGATGGAAAGCGGGATAATGGGGCGGGGTGATGGAAAGTGGGAGAATGGGGCGGGGTGATGGAAAGCGGGAGAATGGGGCGGGGTGATGGAATGCGGGAGAATGGGGCGGGGTGATGGAGAGCGGGAGAATGGGGCGGGGTGATGGAAAGCGGGAGAATGGGGCGCGGTGATGGAAAGCGGGAGAATGGGGCGGGGTGATGGAAGGAGGGAGAATGGGGCAAGGTGATGGAAAGCTGGAGAATGGGGCGGGGTGATGGAAAGTGGGAGAATGGGGTGGGTTGATAGAAAGCGGGAGAATGGGGCGGGGTGATGAAAAGCGGGAGAACGGGGCAGGGTGATGGAAAGCGGGAGAATGGGGCGGGGTGATGGAAAGCGGGAGAATGGGGCGGGGTGATGGAAAGCGGGAGAATGGGGCGGGGTGATGGAAAGCGGGAGAATGGGGCGGGGTGATGGAAAGCGGGAGAATGGGGCGGGGTGATGGAAAGCGGGAGAACGGGGCGGGGTGATGGAAAGCGGGAGAATGGGGCGGGGTGATGGAAAGCGGGAGAATGGGGCGGGGTGATGGAAATCAGGAGAATGGGGCGGGGTGATGGAAAGCGGGAGAATGGGGCGGGGTGATGGAAGGAGGGAGAATGGGGCGGGGTGATGGAAGGAGGGAGAATGGGGCGGGGTGATGGAGAGCGGGAGAATGGGGCGGTGTGATGGAAAGCGGGAGAATGGGGCGGGGTGATGGAAGGCGGGAGAATGGGGCGGGGTGCTGGAAAGCGGGAGAATGGGGCGGGGTGATGGAAAGCGGGAGAACGGGGCGGGGTGATGGAAAGCGGGAGAATGGGGCGGGGTGATGGAATGTGGGAGAATGGTGCGGGGTGATGGAAAGCGGGAGAATGGTGCGGGAAAGCGGGAGAATGGGGCGGGGTGATGGATAGCGGGTGAATGGGGCGGGGTGATGGAAGGAGGGAGTATGGGGCAGGGTGATGGAAGGCGGGAGAATGAGGCGGGGTGATGGAAGGAGGGAGAATGGGGCGGGGTGATGGAAGGCGGGAGAATGGGGCGGGGTGATGGAAAGCGGGAGAATGGGGCGGGGTGATGGAAGGAGGGAGAATGGGGCGGGGTGATGGAAAGCAGGAGAATGGGGCGGGGTGATGGAAAGCGGGAGAATGGGGCGGGGTGATGGAAAGCGGGAGAATGGGGCGGGGTGATGGAAGGAGGGAGAATGGGGCGGGGTGTTGGAAAGCGGGAGAATGGGGCGGGGTGATGGAAGGAGGGAGAATGGGGCAAGGTGATGGAAAGCTGGAGAATGGGGCGGGGTGATGGAAAGTGGGAGAATGGGGTGGGTTGATAGAAAGCGGGAGAATGGGGCGGGGTGATGGAAAGCGGGAGAACGGGGCAGGGTGATGGAAAGCGGGAGAATGGGGCGGGGTGATGGAAAGCGGGAGAATGGGGCGGGGTGATGGAAAGCGGGAGAATGGGGCGGGGTGATGGAAAGCGGGAGAATGGGGCGGGGTGATGGAAAGCGGGAGAATGGGGCGGGGTGATGGAAAGCGGGAGAATGGTGCGGGGTGATGGAAAGCGGGAGAATGGGGCGGGGTGATGGATAGCGGGTGAATGGGGCGGGGTGATGGAAGGAGGGAGTATGGGGCAGGGTGATGGAAGGCGGGAGAATGAGGCGGGGTGATGGAAGGAGGGAGAATGGGGCGGGGTGATGGAAGGCGGGAGAATGGGGCGGGGTGATGGAAAGCGGGAGAATGGGGCGGGGTGATGGAAGGAGGGAGAATGGGGCGGGGTGATGGAAAGCAGGAGAATGGGGCGGGGTGATGGAAAGCGGGAGAATGGGGCGGGGTGATGGAAAGCGGGAGAATGGGGCGGGGTGATGGAAGGAGGGAGAATGGGGCGGGGTGTTGGAAAGCGGGAGAATGGGGCGGGGTGATGGAAGGAGGGAGAATGGGGCAAGGTGATGGAAAGCTGGAGAATGGGGCGGGGTGATGGAAAGTGGGAGAATGGGGTGGGTTGATAGAAAGCGGGAGAATGGGGCGGGGTGATGGAAAGCGGGAGAACGGGGCCGGGTGATGGAAAGCGGGAGAATGGGGCGGGGTGATGGAAAGCGGGAGAATGGGGCGGGGTGATGGAAAGCGGGAGAATGGGGCGGGGTGATGGAAAGCGGGAGAATGGGGCGGGGTGATGGAAAGCGGGAGAATGGGGCGGGGTGATGGAAAGCGGGAGAATGGTGCGGGGTGATGGAAAGCGGGAGAATGGGGCGGGGTGATGGATAGCGGGTGAATGGGGCGGGGTGATGGAAGGAGGGAGTATGGGGCAGGGTGATGGAAGGCGGGAGAATGAGGCGGGGTGATGGAAGGAGGGAGAATGGGGCGGGGTGATGGAAGGCGGGAGAATGGGGCGGGGTGATGGAAAGCGGGAGAATGGGGCGGGGTGATGGAAGGAGGGAGTATGGGGCGGGGTGATGGAAAGCGGGAGAATGGGGCGGGGTGATGGAAAGCGGGAGAATGGGGCGGGGTGATGGAATCGGGAGAATGGGGCGGGGTGATGGAAGGAGGGAGAATGGGGCGGGGTGTTGGAAAGCGGGAGAATGGGGCGGGGTGATGGAAGGAGGGAGAATGGGGCAAGGTGATGGAAAGCTGGAGAATGGGGCGGGGTGATGGAAAGTGGGAGAATGGGGTGGGTTGATAGAAAGCGGGAGAATGGGGCGGGGTGATGGAAAGCGGGAGAACGGGGCAGGGTGATGGAAAGCGGGAGAATGGGGCGGGGTGATGGAAAGCGGGAGAATGGGGCGGGGTGATGGAAAGCGGGAGAATGGGGCGGGGTGATGGAAAGCGGGAGAATGGGGCGGGGTGATGGAAAGCGGGAGAATGGGGCGGGGTGATGGAAAGCGGGAGAACAGGGCGGGGTGATGGAAAGCGGGAGAATGGGGCGGGGTGATGGAAAGCGGGAGAATGGGGCGGGGTGATGGAAAGCGGGAGAATGGGGCGGGGTGATGGAAAGCGGGAGAATGGGGCGGGGTGATCGAAGGAGGGAGAACAGGGCGGGGTGATGGAAAGCGGGAGAATGGGGCGGGGTGATGGAAAGCGGGAGAATGGGGCGGGGTGATGGAAAGCGGGAGAATGGGGCGGGGTGATGGAAAGCGGGAGAATGGGGCGGGGTGATCGAAGGAGGGAGAATGGGGCGGGGTGATGGAAAGCGGGAGAATGGGGCGGGGTGATGGAAAGCGGGAGAATGGGGCGGGTTGATAGAAAGCGGGAGAATGGGGCGGGTGATGGAAAGCGGGAGAATGGGGCGGGGTGATGGAAAGCGGGAGAATGGGGCGGGGTGATGGAAAGCGGGAGAATGGGGCGGGGTGATGGAAAGCGGGAGAATGGGGCGGGGTGATGGAAGGAGGGAGAATGGGGCGGGGTGTTGGAAAGCGGGAGAATGGGGCGGGGTGATGGAAGGAGGGAGAATGGGGCAAGGTGATGGAAAGCTGGAGAATGGGGCGGGGTGATGGAAAGTGGGAGAATGGGGTGGGTTGATAGAAAGCGGGAGAATGGGGCGGGGTGATGGAAAGCGGGAGAATGGGGCGGGGTGATGGAAAGCGGGAGAATGGGGCGGGGTGATGGAAAGCGGGAGAATGGGGCGGGGTGATGGAAAGCGGGAGAATGGGGCGGGGTGATGGAAAGCGGGAGAATGGGGCGGGGTGATGGAAAGCGGGAGAACAGGGCGGGGTGATGGAAAGCGGGAGAATGGGGCGGGGTGATGGAAAGCGGGAGAATGGGGCGGGGTGATGGAAAGCGGGAGAATGGGGCGGGGTGATGGAAAGCGGGAGAATGGGGCGGGGTGATCGAAGGAGGGAGAATGGGGCGGGGTGATGGAAAGCGGGAGAATGGGGCGGGGTGATGGAAAGCGGGAGAATGGGGCGGGTTGATAGAAAGCGGGAGAATGGGGCGGGTGATGGAAAGCGGGAGAATGGGGCGGGGTGATGGAAAGCGGGAGAATGGGGCGGGGTGATGGAAAGCGGGAGAATGGGGCGGGGTGATGGAAAGCGGGAGAATGGGGCGGGGTGATGGAAAGCGGGAGAATGGGGCGGGGTGATGGAAAGCGGGAGAATGGGGCGGGGTGATGGAAGGAGGGAGAATGGGACGGGGTGATGGAAAGCTGGAGAATGGGGCGGGGTGATGGAAAGTGGGAGAATAGGGAGGGGCTGATAGAAAGCGGGAGAATGGGGCGGGGTGATGGAAAGCAGGAGAATGGGGCGGGGTGATGGAAAGCGGGAGAATGGGCGGGGTGATGGAAAGCGGGAGAATGGGACGGGGTGATGGAAGGAGGGAGAATGGGGCGGGGTGATGGAAAGCGGGAGAATGGGGCAGGGTGATGGAAAGCGGGAGAATGGGGCGGGTTGATAGAAAGCGGGAGAATGGGGCGGGGTGATCAAAGGAGGGAGAATGGGGCGGGGTGATGGAAGGCGGGAGAATGGGGCGGGGTGATGCAAGGAGGGAGAATGGGGCGGGGTGATGGAAAGCGGGAGAATGGGGCGGGGTGATGGAAAGCGGGAGAATGGGGCGGGGTGATGGAAGGCGGGAGAATGGGGCGGGATGATGCAAGGAGGGAGAATGGGGCGGGGTGATGGAAAGCGGGAGAATGGGGCGGGGTGATGGAAAGCGGGAGAATGGGGCGGGGTGATGGAAAGCGGGAGAATGGGGCGGGGTGATGGAAAGCGGGAGAATGGGGCGGGGTGATGGAAGGAGGGAGAATGGGGCGGGGTGATGGAAAGCGGGAGAACGGGGCGGGGTGATGGAAAGCGGGAGAACGGGGCGGGGTGATGGAAAGCGGGAAAATGGGGCGGGGTGATGGAATGTGGGAGAATGGTGCGGGGTGATGGAAAGCGGGAGAATGGTGCGGGGTGATGGAAAGCGGGAGAATGGGGCGGGGTGATGGATAGCGGGTGAATGGGGCGGGGTGATGGAAGGAGGGAGTATGGGGCAGGGTGATGGAAGGCGGGAGAATGAGGCGGGGTGATGGAAGGCGGGAGAATGGGGCGGGGTGATGGAAAGCGGGAGAATGGGGCGGGGTGATGGAAGGAGGGAGAATGGGGCGGGGTGATGGAAAGTGGGAGAATGGGGCGGGGTGATGGAAAGCGGGAGAATGGGGCGGGGTGATGGAAAGCGGGAGAATGGGGCGGGGTGATGGAAGGAGGGAGAATGGGGCGGGGTGTTGGAAAGCGGGAGAATGGGGCGGGGTGATGGAAGGAGGGAGAATGGGGCGGGGTGACGGAAAGGGGGAGAATGGGGCGGGGTGATGGAAAGCGGGAGAATGGGGCGGGGTGCTGGAGAGCGGGAGAATGGGGCGGGGTGATGGAAAGCGGGAGAATGGGGTGGGGTGATGGAAAGCGGGAGAATGGGGCGGGGTGATGGAAAGCGGGAGAATGGGGCGGGGTGATGGAAAGCGGGAGAATGGGGCGGGGTGATGGAAAGCGGGAGAATGGGGCGGGGTGATGGAACGCGGGAGAATTGGGCGGGGTGTTGGAAAGCGGGAGAATGGGGCGGGGTGATGGAAGGAGGGAGAATGGGGCGGGGTGATGGAAAGCGGGAGAATGGGGCGGGGTGATGGAAAGCGGGAGAATGGGGCGTGGTAATGGAAAGCGGAAGAATGGGGCGGGGTGATGGAAAGCGGGAGAATGGGCGGGGTGATGGAAAGCGGGAGAATGGGGCGGGGTGATGGAAAGCGGGAGAATGGGGCGGGGTGATGGAAAGCGGGAGAATGGGGCGGGGTGATGGAAAGCGGGAGAATGGGGCGGGGTGGTGGAAAGCGGGAGAATGGGGCGGGGTGATGGAAAGCGGGAGAATGGGGCGGGGTGATGGAAGGAGGGAGAATGGGGCGGGCTGATGGAAGCGGGAGAATGGGGCGGGGTGATGGAAAGCGGGAGAATGGGGCGGGGTGATGGAAAGTGGGAGATTGGGGCGGGGTGATGGAAAGCGGGAGAATGGGGCGGGGTGATGGAAAGCGGGAGAATGGGGCGGGGTAATGGAAAGCGGGAGAATGGGGCAGGGTGATGGAACGCGGGAGAATGGGGCGGGGTGTTGGAAAGCGGGAGAATGGGGTGGGGTGATGGAAGGAGGGAGAATGGGGCGGGGTGATGGAAAGCGGGAGAATGGGCGTGGTGATGGAAAGCGGGAGAGTGGGGCGGGGTGATGGAAAGCGGGAGAATGGGGCGGCGTGATGGAAAGCGGGAGAATGGGGCGGGGTGATGGAAAGCGGGAGAATGGGGCGGGGTGATGGAAGGAGGGAGAATGGGGCGGGGTGATGGAAAGCGGGAGAATGGGGCGGGGTGATGGAAGGAGGGAGAATGGGGCTGGGTGATGGAAAGCGGGAGAATGGGGCGGGGTGATGGAAAGCGGGAGAATGGGGTGGGGTGATGGAGAGCGGGAGTATGGGGCGGGGTGATGGAAAGCGGGAGAATGGGGCGGGGTAATGGAAAGCGGGAGAATGGGGCGGTGTGATGGAAAGCGGGAGAATGGGGCGGGGTGGTGGAAAGCGGGAGAATGGGGCGGGATGATGGAAAGCGGGAGAATGGGGCGGGGTGATGGAAGGAGGGAGAATGGGGCGGGGTGATGGAGAGCGGGAGAATGGGGCGGGGTGATGGAAAGCGGGAGAATGGGGCGGGGTGATGGAAAGTGGGAGATTGGGGCGGGGTGATGGAAAGCGGGAGAATGGGGCGGGGTGATGGAAAGCGGGAGAATGGGGCGGGGTGATGGAAAGTGGGAGAATGGGGCCGGGTGATGGAACGCGGGAGAATGGGGCGGGGTGTTGGAAAGCGGGAGAATGGGGCGGGGTGATGGAAGGAGGGAGAATGGGGCGGGGTAACGGAAAGGGGGAGAATGGGGCGGGGTGATGGAAAGCAGGAGAATGGGGCGGGGTGATGGAAAGCGGGAGAGTGGGGCGGGGTGATGGAAAGCGGGAGAATGGGGTGGGGTGATGGAAAGCGGGAGAATGGGACGGAGTGATGGAAAGCGGGAGAATGGGGCGGGGTGATGGAAAGCGGGAGAATGGGGCGGGGTGATGGAAGGAGGGAGAATGGGGCGGGGTGATGGAAGGAGGGAGAATGGGGCGGGGTGATGGAAAGCGGGAGAATGGGGCGGGGTGATGGAAAGCGGGAGAATGGGGCGGGGTGATGGAAAGCGGGAGAATGGGGCGGGGTGATGGAAAGCGGGAGAATGGGGTGGGGTGATGGAAAAAGGGAGAATGGGGCGGGGTGATGGAAAGCAGGAGAATGGGACGGGGTGATGGAAAGCGGGTGAATGGGGCGGGGTGATGGAAAGCGGGAGAATGGGGCGGGGTGATGGAAAGCGGGAGAATGGGGCGGGGTGATGGAAAGCGGGAGAATGGGGCGGGGTGATGGAAGGAGGGAGAATGGGGCGGGGTGATGGAAAGCGGGAGAATGGGGCGGGGTGATGGAAAGCGGGAGAATGGGGCGGGGTGATGGAAAGCGGGAGAATGGGGCGGGGTGATGGAAGGAGGGAGAATGGGGCGGGGTGATGGAAAGCGGGAGAATGGGGCGGGGTGATGGAAAGCGGGAGAATGGGGCGGGGTGATGGAAAGCGGGAGAATGGGGCGTGGTGATGGAAAGCGGGAGAATGGGGCGGGGTGATGGAAAGCGGGAGAATGGGGCGGGGTGATGGAAGGAGGGAGATGGGAGAATGGGGCGGGGTGATGGAAAGCGGGAGAATGGGGCGGGGTGATGGAAAGCGGGAGAATGGGGCGGGGTGATGGAAAGCGGGAGAATGGGGCGGGGCGATGGAAATCAGGAGAATGGGGCGGGGTGATGGAAAGCGGGAGAATGGGGTGGGGTGATGGAAAGCGGGAGAATGGGGCGGGGTGATGGAAAGCAGGAGAATGGGACGGGGTGATGGAAAGCGGGTGAATGGGGCGGGGTGATGGAAAGCGGGAGAATGGGGCGGGGTGATGGAAAGCGGGAGAATGGGGCGGGGTGATGGAAAGCGGGAGAATGGGGCGGGGTGATGGAAGGAGGGAGAATGGGGCGGGGTGATGGAAAGCGGGAGAATGGGGCGGGGTGATGGAAAGCGGGAGAATGGGGCGGGGTGATGGAAAGCGGGAGAATGGGGCGGGGTGATGGAAGGAGGGAGAATGGGGCGGGGTGATGGAAAGCGGGAGAATGGGGCGGGGTGATGGAAAGCGGGAGAATGGGGCGGGGTGATGGAAAGCGGGAGAATGGGGCGTGGTGATGGAAAGCGGGAGAATGGGGCGGGGTGATGGAAAGCGGGAGAATGGGGCGGGGTGATGGAAAGCGGGAGAATGGGGCGGGGTGATGGAAAGCGGGAGAATGGGGCGGGGTGATGGAAGGAGGGAGAATGGGGCGGGGTGATGGAAAGCGGGAGAATGGGGCGGGGTGATGGAAGGAGGGAGAATGGGGCTGGGTGATGGAAAGCGGGAGAATGGGGCGGGGTGATGGAAAGCGGGAGAAAGGGGTGGGGTGATGGAGAGCGGGAGTATGGGGCGGGGTGATGGAAAGCGGGAGAATGGGGCGGGGTGATGGAAAGCAGGAGAATGGGGCGGGGTGATGGAAGGAGGGAGAATGGGGCGGGGTGATGGAAAGCGGGAGAATGGGGCGGGGTGATGGAAAGCGGGAGAATGGGGCGGGGTGATGGAAAGCGGGAGAATGGGGCGGGCGATGGAAAGCGGGAGAATGGGGCGGGGTGATGGAAGGAGGGAGAATGGGGCGTGGTGATGGAAAGCGGGAGAATGGGGCGGGGTGATGGAAAGCGGGAGAATGGGGCGGGGTGATGGAAAGCAGGAGAATGGGGCGGGGTGATGGAAAGCGGGAGAATGGGGCGGGGTGATGGAAGGATGGAGAATGGGGCGGGGTGATGGAAAGCGGGAGAATGGGGCGGGGTGATGGAAGGAGGGAGAATGGGGCGGGGTGATGGAGAGCGGGAGAATGGGGCGGGGTGATGGAAAGCGGGAGAATGGGGCGGGGTGATGGAAAGTGGGAGATTGGGGCGGGGTGATGGAAAGCGGGAGAATGGGGCGGGGTGATGGAAAGCGGGAGAATGGGGCGGGGTGATGGAAAGTGGGAGAATGGGGCCGGGTGATGGAACGCGGGAGAATGGGGCGGGGTGTTGGAAAGCGGGAGAATGGGGCGGGGTGATGGAAGGAGGGAGAATGGGGCGGGGTAACGGAAAGGGGGAGAATGGGGCGGGGTGATGGAAAGCAGGAGAATGGGGCGGGGTGATGGAAAGCGGGAGAGTGGGGCGGGGTGATGGAAAGCGGGAGAATGGGGTGGGGTGATGGAAAGCGGGAGAATGGGACGGAGTGATGGAAAGCGGGAGAATGGGGCGGGGTGATGGAAAGCGGGAGAATGGGGCGGGGTGATGGAAGGAGGGAGAATGGGGCGGGGTGATGGAAGGAGGGAGAATGGGGCGGGGTGATGGAAAGCGGGAGAATGGGGCGGGGTGATGGAAAGCGGGAGAATGGGGCGGGGTGATGGAAAGCGGGAGAATGGGGCGGGGTGATGGAAAGCGGGAGAATGGGGTGGGGTGATGGAAAAAGGGAGAATGGGGCGGGGTGATGGAAAGCAGGAGAATGGGACGGGGTGATGGAAAGCGGGTGAATGGGGCGGGGTGATGGAAAGCGGGAGAATGGGGCGGGGTGATGGAAAGCGGGAGAATGGGGCGGGGTGATGGAAAGCGGGAGAATGGGGCGGGGTGATGGAAGGAGGGAGAATGGGGCGGGGTGATGGAAAGCGGGAGAATGGGGCGGGGTGATGGAAAGCGGGAGAATGGGGCGGGGTGATGGAAAGCGGGAGAATGGGGCGGGGTGATGGAAGGAGGGAGAATGGGGCGGGGTGATGGAAAGCGGGAGAATGGGGCGGGGTGATGGAAAGCGGGAGAATGGGGCGGGGTGATGGAAAGCGGGAGAATGGGGCGTGGTGATGGAAAGCGGGAGAATGGGGCGGGGTGATGGAAAGCGGGAGAATGGGGCGGGGTGATGGAAGGAGGGAGATGGGAGAATGGGGCGGGGTGATGGAAAGCGGGAGAATGGGGCGGGGTGATGGAAAGCGGGAGAATGGGGCGGGGTGATGGAAAGCGGGAGAATGGGGCGGGGCGATGGAAATCAGGAGAATGGGGCGGGGTGATGGAAAGCGGGAGAATGGGGTGGGGTGATGGAAAGCGGGAGAATGGGGCGGGGTGATGGAAAGCAGGAGAATGGGACGGGGTGATGGAAAGCGGGTGAATGGGGCGGGGTGATGGAAAGCGGGAGAATGGGGCGGGGTGATGGAAAGCGGGAGAATGGGGCGGGGTGATGGAAAGCGGGAGAATGGGGCGGGGTGATGGAAGGAGGGAGAATGGGGCGGGGTGATGGAAAGCGGGAGAATGGGGCGGGGTGATGGAAAGCGGGAGAATGGGGCGGGGTGATGGAAAGCGGGAGAATGGGGCGGGGTGATGGAAGGAGGGAGAATGGGGCGGGGTGATGGAAAGCGGGAGAATGGGGCGGGGTGATGGAAAGCGGGAGAATGGGGCGGGGTGATGGAAAGCGGGAGAATGGGGCGTGGTGATGGAAAGCGGGAGAATGGGGCGGGGTGATGGAAAGCGGGAGAATGGGGCGGGGTGATGGAAAGCGGGAGAATGGGGCGGGGTGATGGAAAGCGGGAGAATGGGGCGGGGTGATGGAAGGAGGGAGAATGGGGCGGGGTGATGGAAAGCGGGAGAATGGGGCGGGGTGATGGAAGGAGGGAGAATGGGGCTGGGTGATGGAAAGCGGGAGAATGGGGCGGGGTGATGGAAAGCGGGAGAAAGGGGTGGGGTGATGGAGAGCGGGAGTATGGGGCGGGGTGATGGAAAGCGGGAGAATGGGGCGGGGTGATGGAAAGCAGGAGAATGGGGCGGGGTGATGGAAGGAGGGAGAATGGGGCGGGGTGATGGAAAGCGGGAGAATGGGGCGGGGTGATGGAAAGCGGGAGAATGGGGCGGGGTGATGGAAAGCGGGAGAATGGGGCGGGCGATGGAAAGCGGGAGAATGGGGCGGGGTGATGGAAGGAGGGAGAATGGGGCGTGGTGATGGAAAGCGGGAGAATGGGGCGGGGTGATGGAAAGCGGGAGAATGGGGCGGGGTGATGGAAAGCAGGAGAATGGGGCGGGGTGATGGAAAGCGGGAGAATGGGGCGGGGTGATGGAAGGATGGAGAATGGGGCGGGGTGATGGAAAGCGGGAGAATGGGGCGGGGTGATGGAAGGAGGGAGAATGGGGCTGGGTGATGGAAAGCGGGAGAATGGGGCGGGGTGATGGAAAGCAGGAGACTGGGGTGGGGTGATGGAGAGCGGGAGTATGGGGCGGGGTGATGGAAAGCGGGAGAATGGGTTGGGATGGAAAGCGGGAGAATGGGTTGGGGTGATGGAAGGAGGGAGGATGGGGCGGGTTGATGGAAATCCGGTGAATGGGGCGGGTTGATGGAAAGCGGGAGAATGGGGCGGGGTGATGGAAAGCGGGAGAATGGGGCGGGGTGATGGAAAGCGGGAGAATGGGGCGGGGTGATGGAAAGCGGGAGAATGGGGCGGGGTGATGGAAAGCGGGAGAATGGGGCGGGGTGATGGAAAGCGGGAGAATGGGGCGGGGTGATGGAAAGCGGGAGAATGGGGCGGGGTGATGGAAAGCGGGAGAATGGGGCGGGGTGATGGAAAGCGGGAGAATGGGGTGGGGTGATGGAAAGAGGGAGAATGGGGCGGGATGATGGAAAGAGGGAGAATGGGGCGAGGTGATGGAAAGCGGGAGAATGGGGGGGGGTGATGCAAAGCGGGAGAATGGGGCGGGTTGATGGAAAGTGGGAGAATGGGGCGGGGTGATGGAAAGCGGGAGAATGGGGCGGGGTGATGGAAAGCGGGAGAATGGGGCGGGGTGCTGGAAAGCGGGAAATGGGGCGGGGTGATGGAAAGCGGGAGAATGGGGCGGGGTGCTGGAAAGCGGGAGAATGGGGCGGGGTAATGGAAAGAAGGAGAATGGGGCGGGGTGCTGGAAAGCGGGAGAATGGGGCGGGGTGATGGAAAGCGGGAGAATGGGGCGGGGTGCTGGAAAGCGGGAGAATGGGGCGGGTGATGGAAAGCGGGAGAATGGGGCGGGGTGCTGGAGAGCGGGAGAATGGGGCGGGGTGATGGAAAGCGGGAGAATGGGGCGGGGTGATGGAAAGCAGGAGAATGGGGCGGGGTGATGGAAATCGGGAGAATGGGGCGGGGTGATGGAAAGAGGGAGAATGGGGCGGGGTGATGGAAAGAGGGAGAATGGGTCGGGGTGATGGAAAGCAGGAGAATGGGGCGGGTTGATGGAAAGCGGGAGAATGGGGCGGGGTGATGGAAAGCGGGAGAATCGGGCGGGGTGATGGAAAGCAGGAGAATGGGGCGGGGTGATGGAAAGTGGGAGAATGGGGCGGGGTGATGGAAGGAGGGAGAATGGGGCTGGGTGATGGAAAGCGGGAGAATGGGGCGGGGTGATGGAAAGCGGGAGAATGGGGCGGGGTGATGGAGAGCGGGAGTATGGGGCGGGGTGATGGAAAGCGGGAGAATGGGGCGGGGTGATGGAAAGCAGGAGAATGGGGCGGGGTGATGGAAGGAGGGAGAATGGGGCGGGGTGATGGAAAGCGGGAGAATGGGGCGGGGTGATGGAAAGCGGGAGAATGGGGCGGGGTGATGGAAAGCGGGAGAATGGGGCGGGCAATGGAAAGTGGGAGAATGGGGCGGGGTGATGGAAGGAGGGAGAATGGGGCGGGGTGATGGAAAGCAGGAGAATGGGGCGGGGTGATGGAAAGCGGGAGAATGGGGCAGGGTGATGGAAAGCAGGAGAATGGGGCGGGGTGACGGAAAGCGGGAGAATGGGGCGGGGTGATGGAAGGAGGGAGAATGGGGCGGGGTGATGGAAAGCGGGAGAATGGGGCGGGGTGATGGAAGGAGGGAGAATGGGGCTGGGTGATGGAAAGCGGGAGAATGGGGCGGGGTGATGGAAAGCAGGAGACTGGGGTGGGGTGATGGAGAGCGGGAGTATGGGGCGGGGTGATGGAAAGCGGGAGAATGGGGCGGGGTGCTGGAAAGCGGGAGAATGGGGCGGGGTAATGGAAAGAAGGAGAATGGGGCGGGGTGCTGGAAAGCGGGAGAATGGGGCGGGGTGATGGAAAGCGGGAGAATGGGGCGGGGTGCTGGAAAGCGGGAGAATGGGGCGGGTGATGGAAAGCGGGAGAATGGGGCGGGGTGCTGGAGAGCGGGAGAATGGGGCGGGGTGATGGAAAGCGGGAGAATGGGGCGGGGTGATGGAAAGCAGGAGAATGGGGCGGGGTGATGGAAATCGGGAGAATGGGGCGGGGTGATGGAAAGAGGGAGAATGGGGCGGGGTGATGGAAAGAGGGAGAATGGGTCGGGGTGATGGAAAGCAGGAGAATGGGGCGGGTTGATGGAAAGCGGGAGAATGGGGCGGGGTGATGGAAAGCGGGAGAATCGGGCGGGGTGATGGAAAGCAGGAGAATGGGGCGGGGTGATGGAAAGCGGGAGAATGGGGCGGGGTGATGGAAGGAGGGAGAATGGGGCTGGGTGATGGAAAGCGGGAGAATGGGGCGGGGTGATGGAAAGCGGGAGAATGGGGCGGGGTGATGGAGAGCGGGAGTATGGGGCGGGGTGATGGAAAGCGGGAGAATGGGGCGGGGTGATGGAAAGCAGGAGAATGGGGCGGGGTGATGGAAGGAGGGAGAATGGGGCGGGGTGATGGAAAGCGGGAGAATGGGGCGGGGTGATGGAAAGCGGGAGAATGGGGCGGGGTGATGGAAAGCGGGAGAATGGGGCGGGCAATGGAAAGTGGGAGAATGGGGCGGGGTGATGGAAGGAGGGAGAATGGGGCGGGGTGATGGAAAGCAGGAGAATGGGGCGGGGTGATGGAAAGCGGGAGAATGGGGCGGGGTGATGGAAAGCAGGAGAATGGGGCGGGGTGACGGAAAGCGGGAGAATGGGGCGGGGTGATGGAAGGAGGGAGAATGGGGCGGGGTGATGGAAAGCGGGAGAATGGGGCGGGGTGATGGAAGGAGGGAGAATGGGGCTGGGTGATGGAAAGCGGGAGAATGGGGCGGGGTGATGGAAAGCAGGAGACTGGGGTGGGGTGATGGAGAGCGGGAGTATGGGGCGGGGTGATGGAAAGCGGGAGAATGGGTTGGGATGGAAAGCGGGAGAATGGGTTGGGGTGATGGAAGGAGGGAGGATGGGGCGGGTTGATGGAAATCCGGTGAATGGGGCGGGTTGATGGAAAGCGGGAGAATGGGGCGGGGTGATGGAAAGCGGGAGAATGGGGCGGGGTGATGGAAAGCGGGAGAATGGGGCGGGGTGATGGAAAGCGGGAGAATGGGGCGGGGTGATGGAAAGCGGGAGAATGGGGCGGGGTGATGGAAAGCGGGAGAATGGGGCGGGGTGATGGAAAGCGAGAGAATGGGGCGGGGTGATGGAAAGCGGGAGAATGGGGCGGGGTGATGGAAAGCGGGAGAATGGGGCGGGGTGATGGAAAGAGGGAGAATGGGGCGGGGTGATGGAAAGAGGGAGAATGGGGCGAGGTGATGGAAAGCGGGAGAATGGGGGGGGGTGATGGAAAGCGGGAGAATGGGGCGGGTTGATGGAAAGCGGGAGAATGGGGCGGGGTGATGGAAAGCGGGAGAATGGGGCGGGGTGATGGAAAGCGGGAGAATGGGGCGGGGTGCTGGAAAGCGGGAAATGGGGCGGGGTGATGGAAAGCGGGAGAATGGGGCGGGGTGCTGGAAAGCGGGAGAATGGGGCGGGGTAATGGAAAGAAGGAGAATGGGGCGGGGTGCTGGAAAGCGGGAGAATGGGGCGGGGTGATGGAAAGCGGGAGAATGGGGCGGGGTGATGGAAAGCGAGAGAATTGGGCGGGGTGATGGAAAGCGGGAGAATGGGGCGGGGTGCTGGAAAGCGGGAGAATGGGGCGGGATACTGGAAAGCGAGAGAATGGGGCGGGGTGATGGAAAGCGGGAGAATGGGGCGGGGTGATGGAAAGAGGGAGCATTAGCATTACCATTAGCATTACCATTAGCATTAGCATTACCATTACCATTAGCATTAGCATTAACATTACCATTACCTTTACCAATACCATTGCCATTACCATTACCATTAGCACTACCATTACCTTTACCAATACCATTGCCATTACCAATACCATTAGCATTACCATTAGCATTAGCATTACCATTACTATTACCATTACCATTACCATTATCATTACCATTACCATAACCACTACCATTACCACTACCATTACCATTACCATTAGCATTAGCATTAGCATTTCCATTATCATTACCATTACCATTATCATTACCATTACCATTAGCAATAGCATTACCATTACCATTACCATTACCATTATCATTACCATTACCATTACCATTAGCATTACCATTACCATTAGCATTACCATTATCATTAGCATAACCATATCCATTACCATTACCATTACCATTACCATTACCACTATCATTACCATTACCGTTACCATTACCATTGCCATTAGCATTACCATTACCATTACCATTACCATTACAATTACCATTGGCATTACCATTACCATTACCATTACAAATAGCATTATCATTACCATTAGCATAACCATTACCATTATCATTAGCATTAGCATTAGCATTACCATTACCATTAGCATTACCATTAGCATTAACATTAGCATTACCATTACCATTACCATTACCATTACCATTAGCATTACCACTACCATTACCATTACCATTACTATTTCCATTAGCATTACCATTAGCATTACCATTACCATTAGCATTAGCATTGCATAAGCATTACCATTACCATTACCATTACCATTACTAATAGCATAACCATAACCATTACCATTACCATTAGCATTACCATTAGCATTACCATTACTATTACCATTACCATTACCATTAGCATTACCATTACCATTACCATTGCCATTACCATTACCATTACCATTACCATTAGCATTAGCATTACCATTACCATTTCCATTAGCATTAGCATTAGCATTAGCATTACCATTACCAATACTTTTACCAATACCATTACCATTACCATTACCATTAGCATTAGCATTACCATTACCGTGAGCATTACCATTACCATTAGCATTAGCATTAGCATTAGCATTACCATTACCAATACTTTTACCAATACCATTACCATTACCATTACCATTTCCATTAGCATTAGCATTACCATTACCGTGAGCATTACCATTAGCATAAGCATTAGCATTAGCATTACCATTACCATTATCATTACCATTACCATAACCATTACCATTACCATTACCATTAGCATTAGCATTAGCATTTCTATTACCATTACCATTACCATTAGCATTATCATTAGCATTAGCATAACCGTTATCATTACCATTACCATTACCATTAGCATTACCATTACCATTAGCATTACCATTATCATTAGCATAACCATAACCGTTACCATTACCATTACCATTACCACTATCATTACCATTACCGTTACCATAACCATTACCATTAGCATTACCATTACCATTAGCATAATCATTACCATTACCATTACCATTAGCATTAGCATTAGCATTAGCATTACCATTAGCATTACCATTACCACTACCATTACCATTACCATTACCATTACCATTACCATTAGCATTACCATTACCATTACCATTACCTTTACCATTACCAATACCATAACCATTACCATTAGCATTACCATTACCATTACCATTACCATTAGCATTGCATAAGCATTACCATTACCATTACCATTACCATTACCATTAGCATTACCATTACTAATAGCATAACCATATCCATTACCATTACCATTAGCATTACCATTAGCATTACCATTACTATTACCATTACCATTACCATTACCATTACCATTACCATTGCCATTACCATTACCATTACCATTAGCATTACCATTACCATTTCCATTCGCATTAGCATTAGCATTAGCATTACCATTACCATTACCATTACCATTACCTTTACCAATACCATTACCATTACCATGACCATTAGCATTACCATTACCGTGAGCATTACCATTAGCATTAGCATTAGCATTACCATTACCATTACCATCACATTACCATTACCATAACCATTACCATTACCATTAGCATTAGCATTAGCATTAGCATTTCCATTACCATTACCATTACCATTACCATTACCATTAGCATTAGCATTAGCATTACCGTTACCATTACCGTTACCATTACCATTAGCATTGCCATTAGCATTACCATTACCATTAGCATTACCATTATCATTAGCATAACCATAACCATTAGCATTACTATTACCATTACCACTATCATTACCATTACCGTTACCATTACCATTGCCATTAGCATTACCATTACCATTACCATTACAATTACCATTGGCATTACCATTACCATTACAATTAGCATTATCATTACCATTAGCATAACCACAACCATTACCATTACCATTACCATTACCATTACCATTAGCATTACCATTACCATTACCATTAGCATTACCATTACCATTAACATTAGCATTACCATTACCATTACTATTACCATTACCATTACCATTACCATTAGCATTAGCATTACCATTACCATTAGCATTTCCATTACCGTAAGCATTACCATTAGCATTAGCATTACCATTTCCATTACTATTACCATTACCATTATCATTACCATTACCATAACCATTACCATTACCACTACCATTACCATTACCATTAGCATAAGCATTAGCGTTTCCATTACCATTACCATTACCATTAGCATTAGCATTAGCATTAGCATTACCATTAGCATTACCATTACCATTACCATTAGCATTACCATTACCATTAGCATTACCATTATCATTAGCATAACCATAACCATTACCATTACCATTACCATTACCACTATCATTACCATTACCGTTACCATTACCATTGCCATTAGCATTACCGTTACGATTACCATTACAATTACCATTGGCATTACCATTACCATTACAATTAGCATTATCATTATCATTAGCATAACCATAACCATTACCATTACCATTACCATTACCATTAGCATTACCATTACCATTACCATTAGCATTACCATTACCATTACTATTACCATTAGCATTACCATTACCATTACCATTTCCATTACCATTACCATTACCATTACCATTAGCATTACCATTACCATTACCTTTACCATTACCATTACCAATACCATCACCATTACTATCAGCATTACCATTACTATTACTATTACCATTAGCATTACCATTAGCATTACCATTACTATTACCATTAGCATTAGCATTGCATAAGCATTACCATTACCATTACCATTACCATTACTAATAGCAGAACCATAACCATTACCATTACCATTAGCATTACCATTACCATTACTATTACCATTACCATTAGCATTACCATTACCATTACCATTAGCATTAGCATTATCATTAACATTACCATTACCATTTCCATTAGCATTAGCAATAGCATTAGCATTACCATTACCATTACCTTTACCAATACCATTACCATTACCATTACCATTAGCATTACCATTACCGTGAGCATTACCATTAGCATTAGCATTACCATTACCATTACCATTATCATTACCATTACCATAACCATTACCATTACCACTACCATTACCATTACCATTAGCATTAGCATTTCCATTACCATTACCATTACCATTATCATTACCACTACCATTAGCATTAGCATTACCATTACCATTACCATTACCATTAGCATTACCATTACCATTACCATTACCATTACCATTATCATTATCATTAGCATAACCATAACCATAACTATTACCATTACCATTACCATTACCACTATCATTACCATTACCGTTACCATTACCATTGCCATTAGCATTACCATTCCCATTACCATTACAATTACCATTGGCATTACCATTACCGTTACCATTACAATTAGCAATATCATTACCATTAGCATAACCATAACCATAACCATTACCATTACCATTACCATTACCATTACCATTACCATTAGCATTAGCATTACCATTACCATTAGCATTACCATTACCATTAACATTAGCATTACCATTACCATTACTATTACCATTACCATTACCATTACCATTAGCATTACCATTACCATTACCATTAGCATTTCCATTACCATTACCATTACCTTTACCATTATCATTACCAATACCATAACCATTACCATTAGCATTACCATTACTATTACTATTACCATTTGCATTACCATTAGCATTACCATTACCATTAGCATTAGCATTACCATTACCATTACCATTACCATTAGCATTACCATTGCTAATAGCATAACCATAACCATTACCATTACCATTACCTTTGCCATTACTATTACCATTACCATTACCATTAGCATTACCACTACCATTACCATTACCATTTGCATTACCATTAGCATTACCATTACCATTACCATTAGCATTAGCAACACCATTACCATTACCATTACTATTAGCATTACCATTACTAATAGCATAACCATAACCATTACCATTACCATTACCTTTGCCATTACTATTACCATTACCATTACCATTAGCATTAGCATTACCATTACCATTACCATTTTCATTATCATTAGCATTACCATTACCATTACCATTAGCATTACCATTACCATTATCATTCCCATTACCATTAGCATTAGCATTACCATTAACATTAACATTACCATTACCATAAGCATTACCATTACGCGCGCGAACCAAGCTGAAGTTTCTCTGGAAGGTGTATTTAAACATGGGCTACCCGAATATGCAACAATATTTGAGTCCTTCGATGCTTTTTTTTTACGCTTATAGGGATCCATGCGCTTCCTTAGCATTTGTCGGCAGGCAGTGCGTATCCTTCCGCATTTTGGGGTTGGAAGCGCTTGTTCCGAGCGTTTTTCTTCCGCCGGGTCACGTGGCTGTGCTACTCTGGTCCAATTTCCAAGCCAGCAAGGGCATGGGAGGGTTGCGAGCATCATCGGTCA